CCCTAAAACCTTCAAAGCCACAAACCATAACCCCAAAGCTCTCTATTTCTATCAACCATGGCTTCTTAAAATCAAAACCGACTAACCATAGCTTCTAAAAGCTTTTAAGTCATCAACTATGGTTTCGAGCTCCAAACATGCGGACCATAACTTTCCGAAACCCACAAAATTGCTAGCTACCCCTCTTCTTTAGTTTCAAACCTATAGATAATAACTTCTAGCTCTAAACTCATCGGTCATCTCATTCATAACTTCAAATCGACTTGCTCTCAAACGACCCCCAATTTCCCTATCAATCCTCCTCTCCAGTGCCAAACGTGTTAGACAAATAGCTTTAAAATAATTATGAAACACAAATTCTTTAATAAAGCTGCCATCAATTAAAAAGGCAATTTTGACATTTCTATAAAGGCATTTTAGTCATTATGACTAATTAAGTAAGCTTTTGGAATTTGTATCTTATCTTTATGTTGAATCAAATTTAAATACATATGGATGAATGTTATAAATGGATATAGTGCAAATGGATTAAATATGATATATGAAGTGTATTTTAGATACATCGTTATGCATCAAATCCAAAAAGGTTTGAGACCCCTTTTTAGAAGAAATTAGGTTGTTTTCAATGCTCGTGATGGAGCTAAGAGGATTGAAAATGAGTTTTAATTCCAACGATTTATCTAAAGTGAGTGGCGATCCCGATGTGTACAATTGAGCATATTTTTGGCTTGTCACATAATTGCTACGAACATGATGATTATGTTGAATTATTTGTGTGATGTGGCTACTAAATGTGATATTCTTGATGAGCTATTTGTGTGTTTTTTTCCTAAATTGAACGTGGTGTGCACTATATAAATTGATTGAGGTTAGTTTTCAAAGTCACACTACATTTATGGTATATAAAATTGTGATGTGTGTGAATGCTATGAATTTTTTGGTATTAGCTTCCAAGTTAATGCTATATTCATGTTGAATTGAGTGTGCGTGAGAGATGTATTGAGTTTGTTAAAGTTACTTGCGAGAGCTAATATCGCCTTTACATATATTTGAATGATATACCCAACCTCATGTTTATTAGCTCCAAGCCATTAGTATGGCTCATGAATGTCGTGTTTATAAGCTCGAAGTTATTAGTGGCTCACCAATTTTATGTTTATGAGCTTGAAGCCATTAATGGCTCTCTAATTTTATGTTTACGATGTTTATGAGCTTGAAGCCATTAATGGCTCACCAATGTCATGTTTATTGGCTCAAAGTCATTAGTAGCTTGTCAATTTCATGTTTACGAGTCGGATGCCATTATTGGATCACTAACATCATGTTTATAAGCTTAAAGACATTAGTGGCTCACTAATGTAATGTTTATGGACTCGATGTTAGTGTAGGTGCCCAAGATCTAACCATGTTTGGATGGACTTGAGTTAATGTATTATTGCATTATTTATTTTAATAATAATAAAGAAGTAATTCTATTAATTCTTATGTTTTATGTTTGTAAATTTAGTAGAATTAGATGAAGTAGATAGAAGTCCTTATAATATATATTTACAATAGTAATTAATCGAAAGATGTGAGACAAATACTAATGCATATAAATGATATCATTAAATGTCATAAGTTATAGCATTGTTAAGAATGGATATTGACTATATACGGATAGACTTATGAGTGCTATGCTCATGCTATATGATAGCAATGGAAGATCTCACACCAATTGGTATGGTGATGCCAAAGCAAGCACTTAGGTGATTCATGTTAGAGAACATATCACTAGACATAACTTTTCATGAGAACCCATTTGGTTTTAGTCTATAAGAATCTCATATGAGATGGGCATAAATGACCCTTAGACTTAAAGTCATCACGGTTGTCTCATTAGAGGACTTTTGCACTTTAACACTCGTTTCGATGGACCTATTAAAGGGTTACACGTGGGTGATTCATTGCGTACACTAGAAATCTAATGGAGGTAGGTGTATGACTAAGATAGGACATGTCATTTCCTTTATACTAAAGGAGTTATCACATTACACTTCGATAAATGTTCATTCGAGAAATCTATGACCACGGTAAAAGTACACCAATAAAGCATAGTTGGTTTACTCTATGAGCTAAGACATTTGGGAATCGAAGAAAATTTACATGATCATAATTGAACAAGACTTATAACCAAGTTCAAAATCACGCTATGATAAGTTGACATGAGGACTAAATTGTATGGTAACCATGCTCGTGAAAGGTAATAATGGATTAATTAATCCTCTTAGAGAATTGGGTAATAAAGATGCATTGTTCAAGGCCACTCTTGATTTATATATCAAGAGATAAAAGAGAAGTCTTTTGTTCTTGATACATTGTCAACATATCTAGGAGCCTATTGAGTGATATGCGAAGTTTAAGTATTCACATTATAAATGAGAAGCAAAAATAATGAAAAACGTTTCCAATTATCAAATTTTTCGATTGTGGAAAGGGTTTCAAAAATGAAAAGTTTTCCGAATTGGAAATTTTTCTATTTTAGAAATTAGTTTCTTAATTGAGAAGTTAGTTCTAAATTTGAAAGTAAATAACCTAAAATGAAAATTAGTTTCCTAATTTAGGTTAAAGGGTATTTTGAAATTTTTTTTTCCTAATGTGGAACCTCCTAAAATAATCTAAGATTATTTATTTGCATAGTCCAAATAAATTAATTAGGCTAAAATGGTTTTGGCCCATTAGGCGTAATTAAAAGCCTTAAGATATTTTGATGGGATGATAAATATCAATCTTATTAGATAAGGATAAATGTTTTGAAGATAATGATTAAAAGTCCACATGTCGAAATAACTCCTCATCCTTTCGAGGATAAGGAAGCAACAACTTAGAGTCCTAAAGGTTATTTAATGCCACCCCTCTCCTTATCCTTGGAAAACAAGGAAGCTTTCCTATAAATATAAGGGAGAAAGAGAAAGGTGTGGCAACTAAGCAAAAAGAGAGAGAAAAAGAAAAAATTTGGCCAACCCTAAAAGTTAGCTAGGGCACATGAAAAAGCGAAGAAAAAAAAAGGAAAAAATAGTTTTCTCTAAAAATCCTAACACAAATGTATTTTTCCCTTCTCTTTGAAGGATGTCGCAAAATTACATAGGATTGATTTTATAGGAAACACTACACAAATCATAAATGGTGGAGGTAACACCCTACCGATTTTGAGTGCTTCTTTGTAGATAATTAGGCTATGTGAATCATCAATAGAGGTCGAACAATTGGATGAGTTTTCTGATAAAAGAATTTAGATCTACGCCACAAGAGGTAATTCTTTATTCATTGCCTTAAATTCATGTATGTATGGTTAATAGATTCAATAGCTTAATCATAGGGCCTTAGATGGAGGAATTTTTTTTATTATTCTACACTTCCATATGATGCATAATCCTTCACTTGAAGCTATTACTAACTTATCAATGTCTCATTTATGGGCTTAAAGCTATTAGTGGCTCTTTAATTTTGTTTTTATGGGCTTGAGGCCATTAGTGGCTTGCCAATATCATGTTTATAGGCTCGAGGCCATTAGTGGCTTGCCAATTTCATGTTTATAGGCTCGAAGCTATTAGTAGTCGGCCAATTTCATATTTATGGGCTTAAAACCATTAGTGGCTCACTAAAGTTTTGTGTGTTGTAGGTTTAACCCATTAATGGCTCGCTAGATTCTTGTGTTATGGGTTCGAAGCTAATAGTGGCTCACCATCTTAAACATCTCTTCTTTTTTTTTAATTTATTGAGTACAAAAATATGCCTTTGACTAGCCTAAATCCCAAATTACTTAATCAACTCATTCCAATAAGAGAAATGCACTCGAAATAGACATAGACTCATAACATTGATAGGATCGGACATTTACTTCAACATAAATGTAATGCAGCCTATCTCAAGTAAGATGTGGTAGTGGTGATTTTGATCTTTTCCACCTATAACCAACCTCTTACCTAGATTTTTATGCGGATTAGTCATTTCGGGTTTTCTAATTCTTTAATACTAAGTGTTGACTCCGTTCTTATTTCTCTATCTTCACAAAGTATTCGTCGAACACCCTTGACGTCCCATGCCTTTCTACCCCCATAATAAAGATAATGGCATTAAAATCATTTGTGAGTTTTTCTTATTTCTTTGTAGTAGTTGGAGCTCTTATGCATTTCAAGTTCCATGTATTTCGATCACTAATAATTGTGTTAAATAATTTTCCTCATTCAATTAAAATGATACATAAAAACTATTAAACATATCTCACATTGAATAGTTAAACTAAGTATGATTAATATATAAAGTTGAGAAGAGGTCACCCACCATAAGGTTTAAGTCTTTTAGATAAAACTTAATCTCAACTATCTAACTCTATATGGTATCGGAACCTCAAGAGACCTAACACCTAGCAAAAATGCTAGAGCTCAAGCTACTTAACGGATCTCAAAAGATAGATTACAAGTGAGTGAGAATGTTAGAGAACATATATCACATTAAATAGTTAAATAAAAAATAATTAATATATAAATTTGAGAAAGAATCATCTAGGATAAAGCTCAAGTCTTTTAGATTGAATCTAATTTTAACTAAGAAGACATGCATTGCATTCTATAATTGGTATTTTAACCAAAATTTGTTCGGATAAAAAACCACTACAACTTAAAAAACTTAAGATGCTAAGTGATTAATGATTTTAGATTAATTTTTTAATAAAAAATTAAGTTATTTATTTAATTAAATGAAGATGGTAAAATTTGAATCCATGACTGTTTAATCATTAAAAATCTAATATTATATTAAAAAATTACTTTAATTTACAAATTTAAAGCACAAACTAGCTGTTCATAATTTGAATTATGTAATTCACCACATTAGGTTAAAAGGTCTACATAAAGTAAGAAAGCAGGACAGAGCGCGCAAATTGTGGAGGTACTTCAATCGGTAGTCACGTATACTGCACCTTTATGGTGTCTCTCTTTTTGGATTATTGAGAAATTTAGGAAGAGCTCGAGGGCATAATTTCCTGGTAGAGTGCACGGCCGTAAGTAAAGGTCAGTTGTTTCCTTACGTCTTATCGTTCAACCCTGGAGTATTTAGGGGAAGAATAACAAAGGCCAGGGAAGAAATTCAACGCGCTCAAACTGCACTAAAGATTCTCCTTGTTGTTCGTTACATAACAAATAATTTTTCATTTGTCAATGATACGGTATCCTGACCTTTAGGTGTAGTTTCCGAAAATATGCAAATTATGTCGCCCTTATGTCTTTGATCACTCAATTCCCTTGAGACCAAGCACTACATAAGGGAAACTTAATGCTTAAGCAAGGAAAGCTAATAATAAGGTCAAAATCGTCAAAATTTCTTACTTACGATGTGTCTGTTTGTTTGTTTATCGCATTGTTAATTCAAAAGTTTTTGTTTTCTTTCGTTATTTATTTATTTATTTTTATTCAAAAAACTGAAATCTGGACAACAAACAATAGGACACCGAAAAGCACATGGAAGAACTTTTATGAAATTACGTCCATAAGAGGTTATATACATAAATTGATGGACTCCACACCATCTACGCCACTCTGTATCATAACTTTCTGAAAGTTTGCTTGAGTAATTATATATGATCAACCCTCATGTTTCCCTCTCAACTAGATTGACCCGAGTGAGCTAACTGTAATTAGTATCTAAGAGGTCCTATTAGCTTTTTGCTTATATACTCTCTTTGACCTAATGACACTTTCAAAACTAGTGGATCAAATAGTTGATGGCATGTCTCTCTCAACCCCTGCATTTAAGAATTATTGGAGGGCAGAACCTAGGCTACGAATTATGATTGTTCAAATTCCTGATTTATTGCAGTTACCCCACTTTCATATGAATAAAGAAACACTATCCTCTTTCAATATGGTAAGCAACAAATTTTTTACTGCCAATATTCATCTAAGATACAATGTCATTGTCAAAATGACCGAATATGGTTTATCATAATTCTTTATGAGTTTGTCACGGGATTTTATTGGAAAGTTCAGTCCCTTTCTGTTTTTCGCCTTTTGAAAAAATTGTGTGGACGTGAGAATTCTGTCGTTGATGTTCCCATGCAAGCTTAGCAGCGATACCATATGTGGCATTTCTTATTTCAAATTTAGGATCTTTCGTTAGAGCATGAGATATTAGTTACAATACAGTAATAAATGGATGTTTGGGATGCGGTGGAAATTGCTTGTCCCACTCCACAAGCTTTTGGTGGTGGACAATGAAACTTACCAATGAATAGAAGTTTAAATAGTCACAAACAAAGTCTCACTTTGTTTTTTAACTTTTTCCTCTGCTTCTAATTTTCTGTTGGAAAAAAAATAAATGAAAAGAATTTTTTTTTTCCTTATATAGGTAAAGTTTGAAATCAAGACTTTTTTTTTTTTTTTTGAAGATATTAAAGACACTAATACTGGTTAAATTACAGTCTATTAGAAAAACAAAATACCCTTTAAATCTTCTCTAAATTTTATTATTTCATATGAATTATGATAATTAAATTGTAGCTGTGTTTTAAAATAAATATTATACCAAGAAAAAAAAACAGCATGTAAGACAACTTCTTCCTCTATCCCAAAATTTTAGTCTTATTTGACTTTTCATACGTATTTTTTAAAAAAAAATACTGTTAATTGTATGTTATGCTATTCGTTTTTAAGTTATTTTTCAATATTATCCTTTATTTTGTTTGAGAACAAAACATACATCAAACTAATAGAATTAGATTAGTGGTGAGGGATTTATTTACCATTAATTTGAAACAAGTTTGAATCTTTATTCTTTATTATTAATTTTTTACATATTTATATATACACCATAATTCTTCTTGTTCTCTTAAGTAAAAATTTAAACAATCACTTTATTAAAGAAAGGAAATAATAAGTGGTGACCGGTGAGCGATGAGAGCCTTTTATCTTTAACATAACTTGAAAACAAAAGTGATAAATTTCTTAAAATCTACAATCTTTGGCTAGATCAAATTTTATTTTATTTTATTTATGAAGGCTTTAGTTTAATGTGACCATACTTCAAGTAACGAAAAGTCGATTTTTCAGCATTCAAATAAAGCCAATTTAATTAATAGACCTCACAAAGCCATGTGAAAATATGACATCATTATTGGAATTTTTTTTATTTTCTGTCTTTTATTTATTTTTTTCATTTGAATAAATTATGGATGGTCTAATAAAAATGAGGAGGAGAGGGATTGGATTAAAATAATTAAAGTAATAATAAGGGATAAACAGAAAAATCCAGAAATTAACAGTTAAACTATTTGATAATTACAATAGTTTTAAGACATCTTAAATTGGAAAATTAGACAAACTTTTTACGACAGTGAAAATATTATTAATAGCTATTAGTTTTCCCACAGAACATAGTATACTTATAATTACAGTCTCAACCATAATAAACAGCAACCAATAAGGCACACTTGTACTTCCCTAACAATTGATTAATCATATAGTTATTTTACTAGTTAACTGATTATATATTCAAGAACACCTGTCACATCAATTATAAAATAAGGGGTGGAAAGATTATTCAATATTTCTAGCTTGTTGTCATGCCATTAGTATAAAAACGGTCCTCATGCACAATTAATCATAATGAATCTATTCTTATGTAGCTGAAAAAAATAATATATTAAAATTATTTAATAATTTTTTCATATCTAATACTTACACTCCATTAATTTATTTTCTTATAACATTGTCCTTGCTTTCTGATGCTTCCTAGGCTTTTGCAAAAACTAAATTAATAGAATTACATCATGAAGGGAAAAGGAGAAATATTAGAGGGGAAATTTTTTTAAAAAAATAAATTATTTTCCAATTTTAAAGGGAGAAAATACTTTCTTACTAGCATTCATACGTATAAAAGCTTCGTGCAAGGTATGTATGCTAGCAAGCATGAGGCTAACTTAAAAGACAGCCATTTTTTTAAAAAAAATGTTTGATAAATAAAATATACGATAACTTAAAAATCAGAATAAAGCATGTTATTATTATTGTTGTTGTTGTTGTTGTTATTAGGACACATATCCAACATTGAAAAGATAAACAAGAAAATGAGTAATATAGAATTGAATAAGCTGAAATTGAGTTCTATCCAAAAGACTTAAGTTTTGTGATGGGTGTCCCATTCTCAAACTTATATATTACTCATAGAAGTTATCCTTATAATATTATTCATTGTAGATTATCTAGTATTTCAAACACTTGTCTGTCTTGTCCTCTTGGAAAGGCGAGCAGATTATCTTTGACTTCTTAATATTAGTACTCGAGTTTTTAAATCTTATTTTTAGTGATGTCCGAGGACCATCACCAATAGCTATTGTTGATAGTCATAAATATTATGTTATCTTTATTGACCATTATTCTAGGTATTTTTGGTTTCACCTTTTGTATAAAAAATTAGAAGTATTTGATGTTTTTCTTTGATTTCAAAATTTTGTTAAGAGACAATTTAATGCCAAATAAAACCAATGCAAATGGATTGAAGGGGTGAATTTCATCGTATTAATTCATTTTTCAGAATAATTGGCATTGCTCATCGTATAATTTGCTCTCACACACACGAGCAAAACAATATTGTTAAACGATGTCATTATCATACTGTGGAAACCGATTTGACCTTTTTAGATGAAGCTAGTGTTCCTCGCGGTAATCGTATTTTGCTTCTCAAAATTTATTTATTTATATATATATATATATATATATATATATATTTGTCAATAGGATGCCATCTCTTATTATTCAAAATAAGTCACCATTCGAAGTTGTTCATACAAAAGTCCTAGATTATGTTTTCCATAAAATATTTTGTTCTCTACTTTCTTTTTTTTTTTTTTTTAGATATTATAATCAAAACAAAATAGTCTTTAGGTCTACTCCTTGTGTTTTTCTTGAGTATAGGCCTTCTTACTTGGGATATCATTGCTTAGATCCAAAAAATAATATACTCTATATGGGCCATCATGTTTGCTTTATAGAAACAAAATTTCCTTTTTTGTTCAAAACACTAAATTCAAATTTTCAAGCAAACCAAACTTCACATTCAACCCCTCAGGTTAGTTTCCTTTTCCACATTAAATTTAATTCTCCACATTTAACTCAACATTACTTGGTTTATACTTCATGATAAACAAACCTCAAATCTCGCTCAATCGATCCTCTCGTCTAATTCACCAATAATTATCCACAACTCACATAGCCTATCCAATTCCCAAACTTTCACCATAGCACATAAAGTCTACACATCTTGTCTAGGTTCCCGACCTTAATCTTCAACACCTAAAGCCCCTCCAAACTATGAAGCTTGATCACAACCCCACGACCCATAAATTTTGTCTACCCTACCAAGCTTAATCAGTAGCCAACAAAACCCGTTCCACTCACTCAACACAAATCCATAACCTATAAAGCCTACCACCAAATACAAAATCAAAGTCTTTTCCCCAAATCTTAATGTCACGAGTTGCTACTTATGCTCTCTATAGTCCTCTCTCGCATCAAACTAATATAGGATTCAACTTGGTGTTTGATTCCGGTGACTATGAATTAACAACAACATAGGTTGGTACTCATCATTCCACTTTAGAATTAACCATATCCCATCATATGGTTCTAATACATATGACCAAGCATTTCAACCGTAGGCTTCAATTGCAGTTAATACCATTGTATCTAGAATCACCATCATGCTATTTTGAATCTAGTAAACATTTGGCTTGGAGATTGGTTATTCGTTGCTAAGGTTACTACCCTTCTCAAAACTAGTACGTAGTCTTTAGTGCCTTCTTCTTATTCTATGAACATTACCGGTAATAAATAGGTTTTCAAAATAAAAAGAAAGGCATACAGTAGTTTGAGAGATACAAAGCCAAATTAGTGGCTAAAGGCTTTCACAAAGAAAAGAGAGTAGATTATGGAGAAACCTATAGTCTTATCATCAAGCCAGTCTCAATTTAGTGTGTACACACTTTGGCAATAAACAATGGCTATCAAGTCCAGCAATTAGATGTACAAAATGCTTTCCTAAATGAGACTCTACCAAAGGATGTCTATATGTCTCAACCTATTGGCTTTGTTGGTGATAGATTTCCCGACCATGTTTGCAAACTTCATAAGTCCATCTATGGATTGAAACAATCACCATAGACTTGGTTCTTCTATCTTGTAGAATTTTTGGTCAATTTTGAATTTGTTGCTTCAAAAATAGATTGTTCATTGTTTATTTATACTCGCCTAGGATTTTAAGGTCTTCTTTCTTGTATATATGGTTAGCATTCTTCTTATAGATAATAATGATTAATTCATCTTATCTATAGTCAATTCCCTAAACTTACGAGTTTGCAATCGGAGGTCTTAGAGAACTTAATTTTTTCCTTAGTATTGAGGTGACCTAAACTTCAAAGGATTTTTATTGTTTCAAAAGAAATATATTACTAACATTCTTTAAAATCATGGAATGCTAACATATCGTCCAACATCAACTCTCATGTTAACCACTTCTAAATTAACAAAGGAATCAAGGTATCTTTTTTTTACAATGCCACACTCTATCGACAAGTTATGGGTGCCTTACAATATGTCACACTTACTTGATTGGACATTGCCTATACAATTAACAAAGTTTGCCAATTCATGCAAAGTATAAAAGATAGACCAATGGATTACCGTAAAAAGAATCCTATATATCTTAATTATATAATTAATTATTGTTTGCATGTTTGCAAGTCCAATCCTATCCTCTCCGGCTTCTCATATTCTAATTAAGCAGGATCTATCGATGATAGAAAGTCCACTAAGGGTTATATAATTTATTTTGGTAATAATCTTATTTCTTAGAAATCATCTAAATATAGTACCATGGATAGAAGCTAGATAAAAGTTTGAATATAGGATAATGGCCGACTTAGTTGTTGAGTTACCTTAGGTTATTTCTTTACTATAGGAGCTTCGTGTGTCTCTATAGGCTCCTCCCATATTCTTGTGGTAATATAAGTGTTATCTATTTAGCAATAAACCTTTTATTTCATACAAACTGAAATCAATTTTCATTTTTTTAGAGATATGGTTACAAAGGGTAGTCTCTAGGTCAAACTTATTTCTAGTCAAGATTAGTTAACTAACATTGTTACCAAAACACTATCTATTATGAGATTTCAATTTTTTAAAGATTTTAATTTCTTAAAGATAAACTAACTATTGGCAAGATGCCATAGTTAATTTGTTAGGGAGTATTAGCCAAACGAGTAACAATGACTCCAATAGTGATAAATCTACCTTCAACAATGAATAAGAACTTTTCCATTGCACACCCGTAACAACGTGATAAAGATAAAGGATGAGTTATTCACTCCAATACTTACTCTTTGTATATATCCATCATAGTTGTTAAAAGATATCTTTATAACAATCACTTATATAAATAGTGCCTCAGAGCCAAGAGAAATATAAAACACAAACATTACGTTCTCTCTCAGAACTCAATTTAGTATCGAGCCAGCTCTAGAATGCCTTTTTTTCTACCTTACTATAATTAATGGCTAGCTCTAGCACTACCGATCTTGCTCGAAATACAAATCCACAACATAAAATCACCTTATGGTAAGCTTCTTGTACAATCCTCATCATTGTCTCGCTTTAAAACTCACCTCCACCAATTTCTTACTATAGCATACTCGAAGAAACCTTTCTTACTAGGACAAGGACTTTTTGGGTTTGCGGATGGTTGTAATCATGGCTCTCCTAGCCATCTTTCCTCTAATGAAATGAAACTCTCTCAAATCAACGCTTCTTATGTTTCTTAGATTTAACACGACTAGTTACTCACGAGCACCTTGATTTCTTCTCTTTCAATTGAGGTTCTTTCTATGTTCATTAAGCTGCAACTCATCTCAAAATATCTAGTGTGTGCTTGATAATGCCCTTGTTTTACCTTCCGAGTACCTAAATCATGACTTTACACCTAGCATTGTAAGGGTTGCACCGGGAGCCTAATGATTCGTCTCTCAATTCCTTTATTTAATAAAATCACATAGTGATAATTCACCGTTGCTAGTATCCACTCTAAGTAATAAATTTTAATTTAAATATGTTTAAGGGCCTTCAAAAGATTTTGGAGATATTATCACTATTTTGTCAACATGTCCTGAATTGGTAGGATTTATTAAACTTCATATTCATCTACTTAGTTATGAGTTCATGAATAAAGACTATCAAAAGATTTTGGAGATATTATCACTATTTTGTCAACATGTCCTGAATTGGTAGGATTTATTAAACTTCATATTCATCTACTTAGTTATGAGCATTAAGTACTAATTTATTACCAATTCCATCAATTGCTAATCTTATTTAGAAATATAGTGGCAACACCTTTGACGGATCGGAATACCTAATCGTGGCAAAGGCGGACGAAGGGGAGATACTACAATAGATATAATAATGGTATTGGAGGAGTTAATCAAGGTACTTGGCCTTAAATGGAGAATAAGAACAAGTACCAACTCTTCATGTCATGGAACCATACTACAATCCATTGTTCTTAACGCTACTTGCACTTATAGCCCCCAATGATAAATTTAGCTTCATAGTCTCCTATCAATCTTCCCTACTTGCACAATCAATCTTGGCATCCAAATATTAGTGCTTCACATCATGTTACTCCCGACCTTGCTAATCTTAACTCATATGAATCATATTGAGGATCGAATTAGTTCCGGGTTGGCAATAGTGAGTACTTACCAATTACACATATTGGAATTAGTCACATTCAAACACTATTTATAAATCTTAATTTGTTTGATGTACTATATGTTCAAAAAATAACTTACCCTTTACTCTTTGTTAAATGATTAACATATGATAATAATTTATTTTTGAAGTGTTATCTTTGCTCGTTTGTATTAAGGATCAAATACATAGGATGCCATTTCTTTTTAGATCGAACGATGTTGACTTATATATTTTTTTCCCACATTTCACTCCTCGAGCGTATTTTGTTAAAGCAACTTCAAAAATTTGACACTCTAGATTAGGACATCCATATAAACGAATTCTTAATCTCTTTCTTAAATAAAAATAATGATTTTGCTACTTCTTCTAATATTTACTTGCTTAAGTCATATTCTACATTGAATACTTAGAGAGATTACTATATAAAGTTGAGACGGGGTCATCTATCATAAGGTTTAAGTCTTTTAGATGGAATTCAATCTCAACTATCTAACTCTATAATTAGGTTTCATTCAAAATACTTAAGCCTTATAATGATCGGTCCATTCTCAAACTCATATATTACTCATCTTTTGTTTATCTTTTCAATATGAAATATGTACTCTAACTCTCTCGTTGACTAATTTTTTTTAGGTCCGTCAAGTGGTTTGACCTCCAGGATCTTTGTTGAATCGTTGGACCTCTTTAAGATTTTTATATCATATAGAATTAGATAATTTATATTAGATTATATTCAAAAAACTTAAGCCTTGTGGTGGATGATACATTCTCAAACTTATGTACTACTCATTTTTTGTTCATCTTTTCGAGTGTGAGATATATGCTCTAACAATTATCGGACCATATAACTTCGGTTATAAAAGGTAATATAGAAAAAACAAAAGTCAATTTTATGTGTACCAATCATCATAAAAATTGCATAGCTCATTTTCCATGAAACAACCATAAATAAAAAATAATTTATTTCCAAAATTTGTTTGTCACGGAATTTTATTTCAAATAGTAATTAATTTTTTATGAAAATAAATAAAGCACGCGCATGCGTGCGCGTGTGCACACATACACAAAGATATATATATATATATATATATATATGAGCTTTACACATTAGGAACCATTACGATTTCCAACACCATGAAAGCTTAGGTTCAAGGAAATGAAAATACTTAGCGAAATAGATTGATTGGTGTAGTTCCTCTTAGGAAGTTGAATCAAGCAATTCAGCTACGATTTAAGGAAAAAAAAATAAGATTGGAAATTTCATTAATCAAATAATTTTTTGGTTTCGCTCCTACAAAATTCCAAAGAAAGATTCTGGAACTACCGTGACAAGTATCCTATATTGTAAGGCATGAATACGAGCAAATAGGTCCAAATACTTAAATATACAATGTAGAAACTGAACTAAAACGTGAATTGACTAACAAACTTGTTGAGAGTATATTTATTCAAAAATAATATAAAATCCTTCTTGAAGAGTCACTTATTAATTTAAGCTTAATTTTGGATTGAAATGATTTTTTTTAATATAATATCATGAGCTTAATAATAAATAGTCTCGAATTTAAATTTTATTATTTTTATTTCTCTTTTAATTAATTAATCATAATGTATTATGGATCTGACCTCAACTAACGGTTTATGTTTTTTAAATTGAAATGATAATTTGAAAATATTACAGGATTCATATATTAATTAATTAATGGTCTATCAAATCGTTAGCCAGTAATGATTTTTAATTTCAGGTTTTGTGGTTCCACTATATGCCACTTGATGATCCCTACTTACCGACAAAAACATCCGATTAATACGTATTATGTTACCAGTGTCTAAGAGCCAAGATGGACAAGTCTTAATCAATATATATTTCATGTTAATTTATGTCTTGGTACCAGCCTCTTAATCTATATATTATGCATAAGTTAAAATAGGATTTGCTAGTGCAAGTCCCTTTTATTATACAACTTAATTACATTGCCTAACTCATATGGCATATCTTAAAATTGATACTTGTTTGATCTATAAGCGATGATCAAAACCTACTAACAAAATTAATTAAAATGAGAACATATATATATATATATATATATATATATATATATATATATAGGGACTCAAGGGCCATGCCTCATCATCGAATTAATATTATTGCATAATTAAACTCCTTATTATCGCTGCTTCAGGACTATCAGAATCAATTGTTGCCAAAAGTTGAGACAATCGCTCACTTAAGTCATCAACCTCCCTGTGCAAGTTCCTGATGTAGTTGCAAGTCTCTTGTAGGACCTTGGAAGCTGATACCTGCATAACATATCATATCATATATAAATATATATTCAAGAAATTAAGCTAAAATTAATTCATATTAGTCACCAATAACTTTTTCTGGAACAAGTAAACCGCTGCTAGGTAATTAACATTATTATTGGAGATATTATAATTAATTTTTAATTTCTTGGAGACTACCTAATTCTCATAAATATCTTTGTGTTATATATATATATATATATAAGTTAGTAAATCTAGTTTTAAGTTATAAATTTGACATAATGTGCTAAAGGGAATGCACCCAATTGTCTCAAACAGCAGTCAATTATAAGGCCATAAAATGTGTTTTTTGGCTCTTCCTGGGGTTGGTCCAACTACAAAAAACTGCTAAAGTCAAAGAGAGCATGGCTAGGGATGAAAATATTTTCCTTGATGGCCGGGTTATAGTTCAGAATGTCTAGAGGGTGCAATTATTATATCAGTGAGTAAATTATAAATTACTGCTCTGGTTTTACAAACGCATTGCAGTTTCAATAATTAATTAATTAGTTTTTATATTTTTAAATTTATTTGTAACTTAAATTTAATTTAATTTAATTTATTTATTTATTTTTAGTTATGATAAATAAATAAAAATAAAAAATAGGTAAAAAATAAAAAAAATTTACAAGAAAATAAAATATATATTTTTTAAAATAATATTAAATTCATTATCATCATCGCTGATTAAACATCAATTAGTTAGCTTTTGAAACAAAACAAGTTATTTGATTCGTTTTTGCAAAACTAAAAGACTAATTTATAATTTACCCTTATGACCGTATGAAACTATTCTTGTCCTACTTGCATCATGTGCAACATTACTAATGTATTTCTCCACTACTTTCTCCTACAAGATTTCATGTCCCTCCCTCCCTTAACTACCATTAAAGATACAAAGAAAGAAAGAAGGTGGAGGTTAAAGTACCTTATCAGAGCGCCTTTGACGAATCTCGGGGAGAAGCTGGCGTAATTTGGAGACAAGGTCGATGATCTGATCATCAGTGATCCTGGGAACACTAGACTGCCTTGACCTTCTGCTAGACATGCCTGCCTATACACAAAATTTTGGTACGTGTCTGTTTCGAAGTTTGAACCCCAGTTCGTTTTGGTAAAAGGAAGAGTGCTAGCTGAAGAACCAAAAGAGCAAGTGGGGAAGGTAATTAATAATAATGAGAACAAAGATATATCGGCCGTTAGAGAAGAAGAGAAGAGAATAAAAGGTAGAAGGAATGTGTTGAATCTAGTAATTAGCGAGCTAAGGAGGTGAAGAATTGGAGAAAGTGAGAAGAGAGTTATAAAGAGAAGGACCACAAGAGCAAGTGAACAGAGGGTGTGAGAGAGAGAGAAAGAGAGAGAGTACGTACAATAACAAAGACAATGATGTTGGATGTGATGAAGACAAGAGCATTGGAGAAAGAAGTGGACTCGGCTTGATGTTTTTTTTTTTTTAATTATTATTTTTTAAGAGACAGGGAGAGACCATACACTTCGTCTATGTGTTCCCAACTTGGGGTTTGATCTCAAGTGGGCTTAGAGAAATGTGTTTGTTTTTTCGCAAACAAAGGGGGCCTTTATGTGTATGTCTCGATGCACAACACCATGTGATCATATGGTATTTCTACTCTCCAATCAGAGACTTCCCATCACTGAATTTCATACACAAATCACAATTTGCCACATTATTGTACTTAAACTGTTTGTCCATACGATTTATGACTCCTCCGTTTCAAGGCCTTTAGTTAGTTCTCCATTCCCTTGGATGGCATGCTCTTACTGGCCTTTGACCTTGCTGAAGAAAACATCATTTCACGAGGTTCCGCAACTGATGATAACTAATTTGTACCCTCCACTTTACAATAACCCTTTTCCCATTATTTTTTTCCAAGTATTTTGTGGTCAAGAAATCACATTGGAAGTTTGATCATGTGCAAAATTTAATGTTTGATGTATGTATGTGCATATATATATATATATATATATATGAAGAAAGAAAATATGCAAATCTAAATGGCAGCCAAGCAAAATTAATCTTTCTTTCAGTCATCATCTCTCTCTCTCTCTCTCATATATTATATAGAATTGTTTTTCTTCCTTGTTCGGGACAAAACTACGTGAGTGTTGCAAGCTTGATTATTGAAATCTCATTTCACATGCCCTTTCCCTGGCATACACGACATGACACGTGTCATGTCATGGCCTAGTACATTATATTATGGGGAGAAAATCTCTAACGCAAGAATGTATATGAAATTTCAAAATGCTTTTGCCTAGCAGCATCACGTGCTACTAGAAATTTAGACGACCCCTCCCTTACCTCTTCCATCCCTTACTCGCTTGCTGTTGTAACCAAGTTCATAAGCCAACTTAAATTTTTGTCAAAAACCAACAAGCTCTTCTTCTAGGATTATCATCACCATCTTAATTTGATGCTTCTAGAGTGATAATCATTATTATATATTTCTTTTATTACCCCATTAATAATAATACTATATATGTTTGGAAGCTTTCCTTAATTGGTATAATTTATTTTTTATTTTTGAGAATCGATATATACAATTAGTATATCAAACCAAACTTGATAATACGTGGGTTTTATTTGTTTTAATTAGTTCTTTGATTAAACATTTTAAAAAAATTAGAGTAGTAGATTATTCTTTCTAATCCCTCGGCATATTTATTTACTATTCCTATTTTTTTCTGTGATTAGGATTTTTTATTTTATTTTCTTGGAGGAGGAGAAGGTGGTGTAAGGTGTTTTCTTAGATGATAAAAGACAAACAACTAGGTTAAATGGTATTTCTTGTGAGGTGAATAGTATATACAAATGGAAAGGTTATCTTATAGACATATGAATTAGGCAATGTAGAGAGTCAATATCAAGATGACATTCATGGCTCACCACCACACTTGTTGTTAGAAATTAAGGACTGCAAAATTGAAATTCTGGCATTCCATGTTAGTCCATGTGAGTTTTCTTTGAAAATCAGTTACTGGAACCACATCATGTAACCTTTATAGAACAAACACATGACCTTGATGGATATGAAGAGAATGAAGAAGAGAAAGGATCACCGAAAACGCAACATGTTCTCATCTCTCCTCTTTCTTTGAAATGACAGACTTAGGCCAAAAAGACTGTACCTGTTAAATATTTTATAGATATGAAGATTCGATGAAACTCCTACACGGACCAGCTGCTGAGTTTTGAATCCTATATTGTCTTGTTACTTTGGCCATGATGCAAGGCCATGAATTGTGGGAAAACCGATCAAATTAATGCAATATCTTAACATTGGACGATTTTCCATGCGTGATAAACGAAAGGAACGCAAGTAAAATTTTGCGGCAGCTATAATATCACTTGACTATGCACGTTCGGCGTCGGCAAGAAATATTTGATGGATTTTCTTATTTGTTATATAGTATGTGTGAAGTTGTAGCTAGGACCTTTTTTAAGCAATTAATCACACCCCTAATTGCGTCATTTGATTGAGAAAAAACATATATTGGAACTGATTATGATTCTTTTGTGTCCGACAAATAAAATACTCTATTTGATTTTGCTAGTTTTTGTTTGTTTGTTTAATTAAAATGTTAAAAGTGGATTAGAGTCTCCGACACACAATAAATGATGTTTAAGCGCATGTACACACCTAGCTTCTTCTTCTTCTTCTTCTTCTTCTTTCAATGGAGAACGCCCCTACCTTTGTTCACAGGTAAACGCATCTTTGTCTAGGGAGGAGTGCAACTTTCTTTTTTCATTTTTTTTTTCAGGTAAGTGGTATATATATGTACTGCACAGAAATTTTTAACCATAAGATATCTTCAAAACTTGGACTAATTTTCATATATTTAGGTGTTAATTAAGCATATTATAAAGACTTGTACTCTTGCATTTATAAAAATTAATTTTCTTACAACTTATCTTTCTAAAATTAAAATTTGTAGTAAGATAATAATATGCTCTAAAATTTGTAAAAAAAAAATTATAATATGGGGATTGGTATAAATTTTTTATCGCTTTGTGGTTATATATTTAGTTATATTGGTTGAGCCATTATTCACCACTTTCAATTATCCTACGTCGGGATATAATATTCCAAACTACACGTGCACTTTGCCCACTTCGCGGTTATAATATCTTAACACTACCTGAATAACTTAAATGTATGCATCAGGATAATTACTTGATATGAATTAACGATAAGGATACTATTTGTGTATCAAACTAAACTTCTTCTAAATCAAATTATAAAATTTAATTGAAGAAAGAAAGGATCACCAAAAAATAAAAAAAAGGAAGGATGAAAATCAGCCATATAATTTTAAAATTACGCACAACAAAAAAAATAGCAGTTAGCGATAGAAAATTCCATCGCTAATTGCCATAATTCCGTCACTAATTGTGAATAGCAACGGAATTGCGATGGAAATTTTTCTTCGCTATTTGGTTTATTGCTAATTTTTTGAGACAAAAATTTCAGTTCGTCACTACTTTTAGTGACGAAAAATCCATCGCAATGCAAAAAAAATCGTTGCTAATCTTATCGTGGGATTTGTCGTTTCTTTCATAGCTATTTCGTCACTAATTTTGAAAGTAGATTTATCGCTAATCCATCGCTAAATTTGAAAACGAATTTGTCGCTATTTGGTTGCTAGATTTGGCTAAGCTACTTTGCCACCTGGCTTTAAAGCTCGTTTTGCATCACTTGCATCCCCTTCATCGCTTTCTTTGTAGCCTCGTAGTCTCTCCAAAGCTTTTCGTTAGCCAAATCAACGAGTGTAATGCAATGTCACAAAGGAGGAGCCGCTACCACTCGATCGGGACAAATAATGCACCAACTCGTGCCTATATCATAAAATCTTTTCTTTTTCTCCTTAATAGCCTTGAGGTATATGGCATGCTAGTCAACTTCGTCTCCAAAATTCCTTCCGCCCTCCGAGCTGCAATTGCCTCATTTATGAACTCGCTTCACATGCTCCTATGTAATCAAAATAATGACATTATCATTAGAGGATTAAAATAAAATTTGGATTATCTTTTCATATTTAATATTTTTATTGAAAAACACTTACCATTGTCTATAGGGAGCGTCGATCGATGAATGAACCACCTCGTCGCTTGTGAGTCATCCCGAATAACTCAAAACTCATTGGTTGACGGTCTAATTTTATTGCTCGCAAAAAATCCATTATAGACAATATGAGAAGAAAATTAAAATTTTATGAAATAAGTCAATAATAATTGTCGCTACACGACGTCGGATGGGACCCCTCAAAAGAAAATTAAACGGTTTCGGCGTTAATTAATTACAAAATTATTTAAGAAGTTTTTGGAGTCGCCACCTAGTATTTAAGGAACTAGGAACCTAAAAGTAGCACTTGGTTCGGAGATTCCTAAGGTAAGGAGTTGGTTACGCTTTTAGGAAGATATTTAATCACCTAAAAGTGCCCTTTTCAAAAAAAGGTACCATGTACGATTTAATTCTAAATTATCTCCTAAAATCCATGTCAAGCTATTTTCTAAATTTTAATCTCCTATTTTCTTTTAGACTAAGTGAATTTTTTAGTTTTGGACGTGGCATCATATTGAAACGATCGTCGGTCCCCTTCATTAGGTGACACGTCGATTCAAACATCGGATCCACTAAAAACCTCGACACAATCGATATGTCGGAGGACATCTTAATTAAAAAATGATTTTGATGACGTCAACCCCTATCAAATAGGAGGCTTCGCCAATTTTTGGGCATTTTTTTTATGACGTCGGTCCCTATCGGATAGGAGACTTCGTCAAAATTATATATATATATAAATGGTGCGAGGTATGAAATGGAAGATGTATGAAATGCAGATTGATAGATGGGCGGCAGAGCCGACCACGGAGATGCGGATGAACAAAACAAAGAAATAAATGAACTTTAAATTAAAATGAAATTAAAATTAAACATAGAGGCGGCAGAGCCGACCACCGAAAATTGATAAAAGAAAGGTACGTGGCGTTGTTTTACCACAGTTCAGCTCCGATAGTACCGTGTACCGTTA